TACTTTTATAAAAATATGTATTATAAATAGATTTTTTCAGTCATTGCAAAAAATTTTTACAATAAACGTCAATATTAATAATATTTGTACAATATAAATCTATACCAAATCATACACATATATACACGTCAATAATAAATAATTATTATACATAAAAATACGAGTATAATAATATGTCTGTATAGTACCTTTTAGACAGTTTGTGGAACTTACGAATTAGGCAGATAAATAGGTGGATAACGATCATTAATGATAAAGAAAACTTGTTTTACGAGTAACCTATCCCTCAAATTCATTCTTTATAATATGTTCGTTAATAATAATAAATAAAATATTTTATATTTCACCCTACGTCGAGTCGGGATAGGTACTATTATCAGCTTATAGCTTGTCGTATTTTCCCGTAATTTCGTATACGTTTTGCTTTAAATTAAGTATATTTGAATGTATATTATAGTTAGCTATATTTAATTGAGTATACATATCGGAACCTAAAATATAAGTATCCCTGCAATTGGTGTACTGACCTAAAATTTAAGTGACGCAATTGGTATACTGACCTAAAATTTAAGTGACGCAATTGGTATACTGACCTAAAATACAAATATTGTTTTAGGCGCAACTGGTCCATGCCCTTTTTGATACCTATGCCTATATAATATAACGCATTACCGTCTAATAAATAATATTTGTATGGTTTCTAGAAAAACTATCCGAAACGAATTTCGTATTGTCCGGAGGAAGTCAGAGATACAACAATCAGATCAGACCGTCATAGTAATTACTCAATCGACGGAATACTGTCAGGTAATAAAGTTTTTTTTTTATTTTAACGGTTAAATACCTAATATAATATGATATATATGTATATATACCTATAATGTATTATAGTTTATGATATAATATTATATAGCTTCTAGCTCTAGAATATAATTGACGAAGTATATTAACAGAACTAAAATAAATATGCAAATAATATTTTAACAGTTCAATGTACAATGTATAGTATTAATATCCTGAATCAGATCAATTAACTATATAGAAACATAATTTATTGTGATGTATGGTTGTTAAAGCATAAGCTATTGCCACTTTTCGATCTTAAAATAACCATGAATCTTAAAGATAAATGTGACCACACAAATCTATAAAATGACAAGTATATAATGATGATTAATTTATTTCGTATATGAGTGTCATTATTAATATACCTAAAACATAATAAGTATTCTGCAAATGAAATCGTAAATAATTAAAATATATTATAAATAAGCGGCGAAAAAGAGATTTAATATTTTTCAGATTTTTACTTAGGTACGCGAATCAAAACCGACGACCATTATAATGAATACACTTTACACATTTCTTTCGGTGTCTCGTGAGCTTTAGAAATATTAAAAGCGTAATTTATTATATTTACCTAT